ATACTTACAAGGGGAGATAGATTCAATGTTTGTAATGGCTCAGCCATTCCCAATCCCTATTTAGCCCGGAGTTGATTGTGTCTAGTTTGCATATCAATTCCAGCTCAGCAGTCTCTCGTTGGAGTCTGTTTTTGAAGTTTTTCTGTTTTAAGATAGCCACCCGCAGGTCTGTCATAGAATGGCCAGACAGGTTAAAGTGTTCTCCCACTGGTTTTTGAGTATTATGATTCCTGATGTCAGATTTGTGTCCATTAATTCTTTTGCGTAGAGACTGTCCGGTTTGGCCAATGTACATGGCAGAGGGGCATTGCTGGCACATGATGGCATATATCACATTGGTAGATGTGCAGGTGAACGAGCCCCTGATGGTATGGCTGATGTGATTAGGCCCTATGATGGTGTCACTTGAATAGATATGTGGACAGAGTTGGCATCGGGCTTTGTTACAAGGATAGGTTCCTGGGTCAGTGTTTTTGTTCAGTGATGTGTGGTTGCTGGTGAGTATTTGCTTTAGGTTGGGGGGTTGTCTGTAAGCAAGGACAGGTCTGTCTCCCAAGATCTGTGAGAGTAAAGGATCATCTTTCAGGATAGGTTGTAGATCTCTAATGATGCGCTGGAGAGGTTTTAGTTGGGGGCTGAAGGTGACAGCTAGTGGTGTTCTGTTATTTTCTTTGTTGGCCCTGTCTTGTAGGAGGTGACTTCTGGGTACTCGTCTGGCTCTGTCAATCTGTTTTTTCACTTCAGCAGGTGGGTATTGTAGTTTTAAGAATGCTTGATAGAGATCTTGTAGGTGCTTGTCTCTATCTGAGGGATTGGAGCAAATGCGGTTATATCTTAGAGCTTGGCTGTAGACAATGGATCGTGTGGTGTGTCCTGGATGGAAGCTGGAGGCATGTGACTTTGCTAGTGCTTTTGATGTAGCCTGTTGTAAAACTAGGCAAATATCTAGAGGAGTTGACGTCCCCCCTGGAAGATCTCTGAGTACCCCCACGGGGGGGAGGCACGTACCCCGGTTGAGACCCACTGTCATAAGCAACTGGACAATTGGCTTCACAATTTCAGCCCAACCCTACCTGTCGGTGCCGCTGTGCACTCCAGCTAAAGCAGATTCCAAGGAGTGGCTGTGGAGGAATTCCTTCCCCTGAGGCCTGTCTGTGACTAATGAGAGGCAGAACTGGTTTGTCCTCTCTCTGCACCGACACCTTGTCCCCAGGAAAGCCAATCAGGCCAGGGATGACGCAGGGAGCAGATCTGGGCGGGCTGGGCACCTGGGAACCACCCTCTCCACTTATTACTTCTGCTGCCCCTCCGATCTCTCTCCCTTTCCCCTCTGGCTGGGAGATATGATCCCTGGCTTATGCCCATGGGGCGTTTGCTCTCCTGTAGCCAAGACCCAGAGTGGGTCAGGGAGGGCAGCAGCTCTGGGACTTGCAGAGGGGGGAGCAGAGATGGGGCTGTTGGTGCAGAGTCACTTTCCTGCCTGGCCCCAGCCCTTCCCCCCGGGTCTCCCCCTCACCTGCAGGAGTTGTTCCAGGGCTGCCCTAGGAGGCCAGTTCCCCACTCTCGGCTGGGCCCAGAGGTAGCGCTCCTTCAGCCTCTCTCTAGCTGTACCAGCCCTGTCCAACCCAGGAAGTTCAGTCATCTCTTGATCAGATCACAGCAGGAAACTCGTGGCCAAGGGGGAGAGAGAGGAAGTAGCCCAGCCTTGCTTTGAGCTGTAACCCAGAGCCCTCTAGCGTGGGCAGATCTGGAAACCCTCTTCCCTGGCTCCTCCTAGGGGTGACCAGATGTCCTGGTTTTATAGGGAAAGTCCCAATCCTAGGCGTTCGCAGCACATTTCATTAGGGTGTGCACCCAGGGAGTCCTGCCCTAGCCCCGCCTCCATCCATTCCCTCCTACTTCCCACCCCCTGACTGCCCCCCTCAGAGCCCCCAACCCCCCCTGCTCCTTGTCCCCTGACAACCACCTCCTGGGACCCCTGCCCCCCAGAACCCCACCCCCTATCTAAGCCTCCCTGTTCCTTGTCCCCTGACTGCCCCCTAGGATCCTACCCCCTACCTGTCCCCTGACTGCCCCGACCCTTATCCACACCCCTGCCCCCAGAAAGCCCCCCGGGACTCCCACGCCTATCCAACCGCTCCCCGCCCCCTGACAGGACCCCCAGAACTCCCAACCCATACAACCCCCCTCCCCGCTCCCTGCCTGCCCCAACCCATCTCCACACCCCTGCCTCCTGACAGCCCCCCCCAGAACTCCTGATTCATCCAACCCCCCCAGCCCCTTGCCCCCTACACAACACACCCCCCCACCCCCCCACCCCACCCCCCCCCCTGGGATCCCACCCCGTATCCAACCCACCCTGCTCCCTGTCCCCTGACTGCCCCCACCCCTTATCCAACCAGGGCCGGCTCCAGGTTTTCTGCCGCCCCAAGTGGCAAACAAAAAAAAAAGCTGCGGCGGCGCAATTGCGCCACTCCACTCTTCAGTGGCAATTCAGCGGCAGGTCCTTCGCTCTGAGAGGGACTTGCCGCCGAATTGCCGCTGAAGACCCAGACGTGCCACCCCAATAGCGGCCGGAGTGCCGCCCCTTAGTATCCGCCCCCCACCTGCCTAAGGCTCTGGGATGGAGTTTGGGTGGGGGAGGGTGTCTGGGGTGCAGGCTCTGGGATGGAGTTTGGGTGCTGGGTGCAGGCTCCAGGCTGGGGCAGGGGATCAGTGTGCAGGAGGGGGTGAGGGGTGCAGGCTCTGGGACGGAGTTTGGGTGCAGGCTCTCGGCTGGGGGTGGAGGCGTAGGAGGGGTGAGGGGTGCAGGCTCTGGGAGGGAGTTTGAAAGTGGGAGGGGGTGCAGGCTCTAGGAGGGAGTTTGGGGGCAAGAGGAGGTGTGTGGGAAGGGGGAGGGGGTGCATGCTCTGGGAGGGAGTTTGGGGGGTGCAGGGGTGAGGGCTGTGGTGCTGAGGATGAGGGGTTCATGATGCAGGAGGGGGCTCAGGCCTGGGGCAGAGGATTAGGGTGCAGGGGGATGAGGGCTCTGGCTGGGGCTGAGGATGAGGGGTTCACGATGCAGGAGGGGGCTCAGGGCTGGGGCAGAGGATTAGGGTGGATGAGGGCTGGGGCTGGGGTTGAGGGGTTTGGGGCATTGGAGAGGCTCAGGGCTAGGGCGGAAGGGCAGGGTAAGGGCAGCCTGTCCTGCCATTGGGAATGGGGGGCACTAGGACCCTGGGGCAGCAGACAGCAGTTGAGCAGGAATGTGCTACACCAGGAGAGGCCTCACACTACTTTCTTTCAGGCAGGGACACTCAGGGGTGTGGGAGGGAGAACCGCGGGGGGGGGGGGGGGGGGGGGGGGGGGGGGGGGGGGCGAGGGGGGGGGGGGGGGGGGCGGGGGGGGGGGGGACCCACGGAGGGGGGCTGGCAGCCGGGGGCTGGCGGCTTGCTGCTGCAGGGAGAATGGAGCCATTTGCCCACCCCTGCGTTAGGGTGTGCTCAGGGCCGCCCAGAGGATTCAGGGGGCCTGGGGCAAAGCAATTTCGGGGACCCCTTCCATAAAAAAAGTTGCAATACTATAGAATTCTATATTCTTGTGGGGGCCCCTGTGGGGCCTGGGGCAAATTGCCCCACTTGCCCCCCCCCCGGGCAGTCCTGGGTGTGCCTGTGCACACCCGGCACTTCCCGTGCGCACGCCTATGGTCCCAATATTTGGGGCTTTGGCTTATACAGGTGCCTATTACCCCACCCCGTCCCCATTTTTCACACTTGCTATCTGCTCACCCCATCCCCTCCCCGGGACAGACCCACGACCCAGAAGGGATCCGTCCATGAGCATTAACAGCTCCGTGCCCCCGCGGTGACTTCCTTTCAACACAGATGTGCTCCCAGCCCCTGCCCCGGAGCCAGCCTGCACGTGCAAACTCTCAGATTGCTGCAACTCCTGACTCCGGGGAGGCCCATGTGGTGCAGGCGCCGTCACCCACCTGTTCCATTCGCAAACCATCTCCTGGGTTAGCGCGTTCACCCTGTTAACACCCACGGAGCCACCGCCGTAGCCTCCTGCAAAACCCTCCTTAAGCCTCTCATGTGCCCTGGGACCTGCAAAATGCTTGACAGCAATGAGGCTGCAGGTGTGCGGAGACCACAGCCTATCGTGCTGAGCAGCGGCGTTCCCGTGGGCTCCCTGGTCTGCCTGTCACGGAGACGGATACAGAGATCAAGAGTAGCCAGTGTTAGGATGGTTCTGGCTAAGAAATAGGGTGACCATATTTTCCCAAAGGGAAAACTGGACACCCCCCGGGGTCGGCCCGAGGGCCCCCTCCCCCCTGTGTGCGGGGCTGGTCTGAGCACCCCGTCAACCCCTGCACGTGGGGCTGGCCCGAGACCCCCTCTCCCTCTCCCCACGTGCAGGGCCAGCCTGAGACCCCCTGCCGCCCGCCGGCACGTGGGGCCATCCCATCCCAAGCCGCTCTCCTTAGCCCTCCCTGCCACATGGGGGTGGTGCTGCCGCTTGCCCCCCCCTCGCCATGTTCCTTTGCATCCCATTTTTTTGGGCCAAACTGTGCATTTGTCCAGTTGATTCTTAACTGATGACAAATGCCAAGTTTTGCCCCCCAAAAAGTGTCAAGAGGGCTGGGACAGGGCCTCTATTAGAGACCAAGATGACAGGCAATGGAAAAGAGCAGTTTATTCTTGTTATTACCTCACATCTGCTACTGCAGGTTTCTGAGCCCTTCCTCTGACCCATCTGGGACCGGCCACTAGCAGAGACTGAACTGGAAGGACCTCAAGGCTGAGCCCATCTGAGGATGCCTGTGCACCTCATAGAAAAAGCATCACCTGTTGGCTCATAATGGCCGTGTCATTCAGAGGTGGCTTCAATACAGTCCCTACTTCCACAGCATTAGGTTTTGTCTGCAGCTCCAAAGCTGTCCCCACCAGAGGGCTCTGGCTGTGCTAAGGGGAGGCGGCTCCCTCGCTCCTTGTCTCTCTTTCTCCTCGGTTCAGCACAAGTTTCCTGGCTGAGACGGATGCAGCTGCGGCTGAGCAGCTGCTGCCCCCTCAGTGGGGTGTGGACCAGGGGGAGACCTTCATCCAAGCCCCCTCTGTGCCCACCCCAGGTGGGGTCTTTCTCCGGTGGCTGGAACCAGCCCCCTGGGGCTCCCTGGACTCTGCCGACACCAGCTCCTGAGCTGGCACCTGCAGGTGATGGGGAGACCTGGGGGAAGGGCCGGGCAGGAAAGTGACTCCCCATCTCACCCCCACCCATCTCTGCTTTCCATGTCTCTGCCAGTCCCAGAGCTGCGGCCGTCACCGACAGACATTCCCGGTCCCGCAAGCGAAGAGCCATAGGAATGGGTCAGCCAGTGCTTAATTTGTGCCAGGGCTGAGCCCTGGCACCTCTGGGCCTGGCAGTTCAGAGCCCTGACACGGCACCTCTGGGCTTGCCACGTCAGTTATGCATGTAAAAAAATTGCTTGAGCCCCGACACCTCTTTCATTACAAATTAGCCTCTCAGGCCAAGGGGGAGGAGAGACCAGAGCAGGAACCATAAATGGGGAGAGAAGTTCCCAACTCCTAGATCCATTCACTTGGTTCTTTCTCTTTCTCTAAATCCTTATTGATCCATGATGCCGGATCCATCGCTCTAATTATTTTCCATAGATTCTAGTCCACTAATTTATCAGTGTACCATCCCTCTAGAGCAGTGGATCTCAACCTGTTTACCATTGTGGGCTGCATATGCAGCTCTCTGTATGTTACGTTAAGTGGGCCCCATCCACACAATATATATACTACCTGTATGGCCCTGAGGATGGCACATGGGCCACAGCTGTGTGCTGATTGGCCGCCAGCAGCCCACAGGTTGAGACCCACTGCTCTTGAGTGATTATCTCCTCGGTGTCTAAGCACTGCACATCAGGTGACCAGTTAGCAAGTGTGAAGAACTGGGACGGGAATGTGTGGGTAATAGGTGCCTGTATAAGAGAAAAAACCCAAAATTGGGACTGTCCCTATAAAATCGGGACATCTGGTTACCCTACCTGCACAGATGCATAAAGCATCAATGAGAAAATGTGTCTTTTTCTCTCCTCCTAATGCCCAGTGGCGAGGGAGATGGTAAGCCACTGTTTGAATTATTTGTGCTACGGTCAATAAGGCTCCGTTGTGGGAGGCACCACACAAACTCCAGCCCTACTCCTGCGAAGACTCTAGCCCCAGCATCTGTTAACTCAGGCGAGGTGTGCGCATTGAAATCAATGGAAATCTGAGTTTATTTATGTGAGTCTTTCCGGGATCAGGGACAGAGTTTGTACAGTGCCTAGCGTACGGGCCCCTCTGATGTTGTGTGGCGCAAATCGTTGCCCCAGTGAGTTTGCAATCGGAGAGGAAGACAGGCAGGAGACAGATGAACGGAGGCCCTGGAGCAGGCCAGGTCACAGGTACAGGCAGAGAGTTGTGTCATATGTGGCTAGATGGTTTTGTCAAAGAGATGATTTTTCAAAGAGTTCTAAAATCCACACGGGTGCTCAGGCTGTCTTGAAAATTGCTGTGCATCATGAGGGCTGAGGGTAGGGTTAGCGGTGCTAATTTGGGGCCATTTGATCCAGCGGTTCCTGAGATTAGGGGGAGCAGAGAGAGGAGGAGAATTAGGACACAAGAGGAAGGGTGGCCCAGTGGTTACAGCACCAGTTTGGGGCTCAGGAGTTCCCTGCTCCGTCATAGGCTGCATGTGACCTTGGGAATTAGATGGTAAATTCCTTTACAAATCTTGCCCACCTCCCAGGGGTGTAGCAATGAGAAATACACAGGGCTTAAATTCTCCCTGAGTATTTCCCAGAGCCCCAGGGCTTTGGCTCCACGGAAGGTACTGGGACTCCCACTGGTTTGAAAATAATTACCAGAGCTCAGTTCCAGTCAGCTCCAGCTGAATTTAAGTCCTGGCAAAGCATTAACGGTTGTGAGGTGCTTATATACTAGGGTCATGGGACCCTATTAATAGCTAAGAGTCACTCCGAACGCTGGGGGAAGAAGGGAAGTTGCAGAGGCGTGGAATCAAATCACAATAACGTTTGTGCAGCCCCTGATTTTTCAACCTGATTTCTCCAAACTTTTCCTCAGATGCAGGGATCAATTCTGCGTCGCCACTGAGAGAAAAGAAGGGGGGATAGATACATGGCCAGGTGGCGACTTGTACTAGGTATGCACCTGCCTTGGAACATCATCTTGTCATTGCAGGCGTTGTCCTTTGAGGGTTCTTAACAAGACAGCTCTTGGTCCAGTGCATGATCTGGCTTGGTCTGGAGAGATCCCTCAGCAGGGAGTACCCTGCCCCAAGCCCCCCTGAGCTTGTCTTAGGGCACGGTTAGAACATGATCTTGGACTACTTTGTAGTCAGTGCAGACAGGGACAAGATGTGATCAGTATCAGGTCAGCAGGCTGTGGTTAAGGGTTTGTCTACATGAGGAATTTGACCAGAATAGATACCCCAGCATAGCTTCCTGTGTGGACACGCTTATCCTGGAAGAATTAGCTGGTATACTTCTTCCAGTGTAGACTAGGCCTACGTGTAAGAGGGGGCAGTCTAGGGGGGGGTATAAGACGAGAGACAGATGAACACAAGGAAACAATGAGGCAAAAGCGGTCAGCATGATAGGTGGTGTTCTCAGCACACCAGCAGCCTAAACCATGTCAAGTTTGTATCCTGGGAAGTGCCTATAAGGGACAGCCTTTACAACCATGTTAATAATGTTGTGCTAATTAGCAATCAATTAACTAACTAATATAGACAAGTCCTTTACACAGGTTGGGCCTGTGTAGCAGTTGGGGCCTGATTCTGATCTCAACTGCACTGATGTAAATTGGGGATATGTCTAGACTACGTCGTCGTAGCTACACAGGCATAACCCTGTAGTGTAGACACAGCTTGTAACAACGGAAGGGGGTTTTCTGTCAGTGTAGGAACCCCCCACCCGATGCATTCTCCCAGTGACAGCTGTGTCTACACAGGGCCTTAGGTTGGCATGGGGTTTTTTTTCCACACCCCTGACCGGCATAGCTACACCAAGCTAACTCTTAAGTGTAGCCCAGGCCTTGGAGTGGTTCCACTGAAGTTGGCGTGAAGAGAGAGCAAAGGGAGAAGCAAATCATGGCATTCGAGTGTTGGGGGTGGGGGGCAAATCCTTTTTAATAACCCGAGGCAATGTCTCCAATGCAAAAGAGTTGTGTTCTTAATTTGGATTCACTCCTAATTTCACCTGACCTTGAAAATTCAGTTAGAACCCAACCACCTCTCTCTGTCTGTGACACTTTTGGGTTAACTGGGTAGCTATATGGTGTTCTACACTTCGAGAACACGAAAGGGAAACCAGTTATCCAGCATGACCCTAATCAAACATAGCTTGTTTACCATTCCTATGGGTAACAGCAACGGAGAACATCCTGTTCCTAAAGCCTGGGGTGCAAGTTGAACTGCTAACCACAGTCAAAAGCCGAGTTGCTGTGTTTGCACTGCTGTTTTAACCCAAGTTAAGAACACATCTCCTCCTTTGTTCTGAGGACATACCCAGGGAGAGCAGTAGGCCAGGCTTCTAGGGCTCTCTAGTCAGTCTACGGGGGGGTTAGAAATGGCCAAGAGATTTAATCCTTGTGCTGGGCTGAATCACTAACTCCCGACTGTGTGTGGAGATCGCTGAATCCCTTACGTGGACCATTGCACATCAGCTTCCACATGCTGGGCTTTGTGAAAGGGCATCTCCATGGGTGTTTCCCATCTGCTTCATGTTACATATCCTCTCTGGCAAACATAGGGGCAGGGTTTAAAATCCCAGCACCTGTGTAACAGGGACTCCAGGAATCTGTAACCAACCCTGATCTCGTCTGTTCTCTCTCCCCTGAGCAGGATTCCCCATCCTTAAACCTGACCTGCATGGAGCCAGGGGAAGAGCTGTGGGCACTGGATCTCCAGGGGAGGCACCAGCCCAGGTGAAGAACAAGTTAAACCAGCTCAGAGTCCATCTGGGAGAGAAGCCCAGCGCTGGGATTCGCACTGAGCCCTTGTGAGCTTTTCCAGGTCTGCCCTTCTCAGGTAGCTCATCACCGAACTGGAAGGGACCTCGAGAGGTCATCTAGTCCAGTCCCCTGCACTCATGGCAGGACTAAGTATTATCTAGACCATCCATGAGAGGTGTTGCAAACACCTGTCCTAGTTTCAGGGCAAATGTTGCCTGGGGCTTTTTACCCTTTCTGCCTGAAAGCAGCTACCAACCCTCGCTCTGCCTATTGAGATGGGAAGGGAAGCAAAGCAGGATGGGTCCCCTCTGGTGAAGGACTGGGGGATGGTTTTGTCCAGGTTCCCCAATACATTATCTTGGTATAATAGATTCTAAAGCCAGAAGGGATCATCTAACCTGACCTGCATAGCACGGGGCAGAGAATTCCACATAGGAATTGGGGTTTTTCTTGCCCTCTTCCTTCCCTGGTTGGGGGGGAATGTCTTATATGTGGATTCTGTCCATAAACCAGGGATGGCAACAAGTGCGAATGAGAAGGCAAATCTGCTGCGGGGAAGCCCTGAGTCCGCAGAAGCCGAGAAAGCAGAGGGGCACATTTGCCCGAGAGAAGCCAGTGAGAGTCAGGGTGGGTGGGAGAAAGAGGAGGAAGGAAATCTTCCAGGGGGGAGAGAGGATAAATCTTTTCCCCAAGGAGGAGATGTAAGGCAACTCTGGGTGCAGCAGAGAGAAGGGGAAGGTGATGGGTCCAGGGAAGGATTCACGGAGAGTGCCCAATCTGATGCCCAGTGGAGCACCCACAAGGGAGAGAAATGCCACCAGTGCCCTGACTGTGGGAAAAGCTTCAACCGGAGCTCGACCCTTAGTGCCCACCTGAGGATCCACACCGGGGAGCGTCCCTACATATGCCCGGACTGTGGGAGAGGCTTCACGCAGCTGGCTCACCTGACCCAGCATCGGGGGACACACTCAGGAGAGGAACCCTATCACTGCGCCGACTGTGGGAAGGGCTTTGGGGTCAGCTCCCGCCTGGTGGCACATCAGAGGAGCCACACGGGCGAGCGCCCCTACAAATGTCCCGAATGCGGGAAGAGCTTCCGGGTCAGCTCAGTCCTGGTGGTGCATCAGCGGATCCACTCCGGAGAGAGACCTTATAAATGCACCGATTGCGGGAAGAGCTTTAATGTCAGCTCCAACCTCATTAAACATCAGAGGATCCACACGGGGCAGAAGCCCTACAAATGCACCGAGTGCGAGAGGAGCTTCAATGAGAGCTCAGCCCTGATTGCCCACCAGCGGCTGCACAAAGGGGAGCGACCCTACAAATGCCCTGACTGCGGGAAGAGCTTCAACGTCAGCTCCAACCTCCTGGAGCATCAGGGCACCCACAGGGGCCAGAAACCCTACAAATGCCCCGAGTGTGGGAAAGGATTCGCCCGCAGCGCCCACCTCTCACAGCACAGCCGGACTCACACCGGTGAGCGACCCTACAAATGCGCCGAGTGTGGGAAAGGATTTGCTGTGAGGTCCCATCTGGCCCAGCACTGCCGGGTCCACACTGGGGAGAGACCCTACAAGTGTGCTGACTGCGGGAAGGGCTTCACGGCCCGTTCGTCCCTGACCACCCACTGCCGGACTCATACAGGAGAGCGACCCTATGAATGCCCCGAGTGTGGGAAAAGCTTCAATCAGAACTCGCACCTGGCTCAGCACTGGAGAACCCACTCGGGAGAACGACCCTATCACTGCCCTGACTGCGGGAGAAGCTTTGGGGACAGCTCTGCCCTCATTAAGCATCAGAGAATCCACCTGCAAAAGAAACCTTGTTAATGCCACCCCACAGCTACTGGGAAAGCTTTGCTTGGAACTCAGCGCTTATTACTAGAACTGGGCAGGTAAAGGCTTTTTCAGTGAGGTGGGAATTCAAAAAGAAAGAAAAAAAATCATGTTGAGTTGACCCCAGAACAAAATGTTCCAACATTTGGGGGGGATGGAAAAGTGGAAAATAAAAATCATTTCAAGTTGAACTCTTGTGCTACATGAAACATTTCATTAGGATTTTGAGTGGCTTTACCATCTTTTTTAAAATTAAATTGAAACATTTCAAAATAATTTTGATTTGAAAAGGTTGAATATTTTGGCTTTTTCAGATTTTTTTGTTTTGAAGGGATCAGCTGAAACAATTCAATGAAACAGAAACATTTGCAAAACGTTTTGAAGTTAGTGGAGCTGCATTTTTCCACACAGAAAAGAAGTATCCAACAAAAATTTTTGCTCAGGTCACTTATTACACTTCAGAGAATCCATGCGGGGATAACCCTGACCGGTGGGAGTAATATTGGTGACATTCAGCTCCTCCCACTGGGAGCAGGCCACCTCTAGCTGATCCGTGACTCTGGTCTGGCCGCTGAGAGCTTGCTGCAGCCCTGCAGGCTGAGCATAGGACGGGAAAGAGAAAATACCTGCAACCTTGGTTGTTCCCTTTTCCGGGACTCAAGATCCCTCTCCTCCCCAGGCGAGATTCATTCCCTGGGCTGCCCACATTGGTATCAGAGAGGTGGGTAAGAAATTAGGTCCAATTCCATCCCCAGCACCACCTCCCCACTGCAGAAACTGGATGCTTAATCAATGCTCCAGGTCTCATTCCCCCTTCAGGCAACCTTAAAACTGAAGGTGCCCTAGGCTCCCTCCCTTAGGGGGAGCAATTTCCTGGGGTGAGGGACTCACCTGCTTTACTAATCCCACCCACCATCACCACCAGCTAGCCCTAGCTCTTCCCCCATCCCAGGTCTTCTCAGGGCACGTCTACACAGCCGCTAAACACCCAACTCAGGCTCATGGGACTGTTTCATTGCTGTGTAGCCTCCTGGACCCAGGCTGGGGCATGAGCTCTGGGACCCTCCCACTCATCAGGGTCCTAGAGCCCAGGCTCCATCCTGAGCCCAGAAGTCTACACAGCAATGAAACAGCCCCACAGTCCAAACCAGCTGGCACAGGCCAGCCATGGGTGTTAAGCTGCTGTGTAGACATACCCGCAGAAGTCTGGCCCTCTAGTTTGATCTGTCACTTTGCTGCATGGGGGGGGGGGGGAGAAATGGTGAAGGGTGGAGCTGGCTAATACAGCGTGTAGCATGATTAATTTGTGATTGGCCTCAGCAGTAGAAGTACAGAAATGGGTTTTCCACCTGTCCAGAGTCTTTTGCTGGGGGAGAGGACAAGTGAAATGAAGTGGAAGGCACTCTACTCCTACATTTATGATACGAGAACCTGAATAGGATAGAATTTAAAGCCAGAATTTGACAGAGATTGAAGATTGGGATGGCTCAGTGTATGGCTTTTCTACAGCTGGAGTTATTCTAGAACAGCTATGCTTGAATTACTTCATGTGTGGACATGCTGAATCTGGAATAAGAGCACCTTGTTCTCGTTTAGTTTAATCCACTTTCAAGGCGGATTTGAATTAGCTTAATCCATTTTGGAAGTAGATTAAACTAAACCCAAAAAAGGTACTCGTCTTCTGGAATAAGTGTCCACACAGAGCTATTCGGGAACAGCTATGACATTTTAAAATTCACTTACTTTATGCCAGAGTAACTTTCACACGTAGACAAAATCTTAGAGGCAAAGAATAAGAGGGAACATGATAAGAATCAGGGCCGGCTCTAGGCACCAGCAAAGCAAGCAGTTGCTTGGGGCGGCATATTTGCAGGGACGCAAGAATCCAGCATGGGAGCTGAGAACAAACAGGGGGCCCTGGGAGCTGTAGTTCCTTCGTTAGCTCCCTGCCTATAGAGCCAGCCCTGGAGCAGGGAAAGAACTACATTTCCCAGCATTCCCTTGGCCACTAGCAACAGGAAAGGGAGGGGGAAGGAGTATGGAACTGAAACCTGCAGCTTGCTGTGAATGGTAGGGACAGAGCCAGCTCTAGGTTTTTTGCCACCCCCCACCCCAGCCCTGGGCTCCCCCCTCACCCCTGTGTTGCCCCAGCCCTGGGATCTCCCCCAAAGAAAGAATTGGGTGGACTAAATGGACAGTGCCCCTCTCTATCTGAAGCCTAGCAAGGGAGGTATGTGGATCCCACTAGAATTTAAAATGAAAAGTAAGGGAGGGGAGGCTCTGCTAGACTAGGCAGCTTTAGATACAGTCCCAGGCACGTAGGAGGATTTCCACTTCTGAGCCATGGAAGCAGAAATTGACTTTTCTTTTCTAGATTTGAACACCCTCAAAATTCAGGAGAGCTCAAGCTCAGTTTGGGCAGCTGTTACTTCGTTTCTCCCAAATCAAATATACTGATCCACTGTAACTTGCTGTAGAAAACGTAGAATAAGTTGAGCAAGAAATGCTTCCCAGTGTTTATTAGGACTGGAATTGCTATTTTCAACAGCCATTGCCCTTTTTTTTTTTTTTAAGTTTTAGTTTTATTTGTTTAAAAGGAAGACAGTGATATTGCATTGGCAAATTCCCCATAGAAACAAAGAATGGAACAAAAGAATATTAAAGGCACCTCAACTTTTTCTCATTTATGTAGGACAGTCTTATAATATGCATCCAGATATCCGCCAATCACACAAGCTGAAAATTGTTCACTTCACTTCTGTAACCATATGGGAACCAATCCTGTCTGTGTTTTGTGCACATCCAAAATTCCTGCTGAATGACCTGCCGTGGGAGCGAGTTACCAGTGACCCAGGGCTGCGGCGGAAGGAGGGTGCAGTGGGGGGGGGGAAGGGGGAAGAAGAGAGCCCAGGGCTGGGGTGGGGGGCAGCCAAAAATTTTTTTGCTTGGGGCAGCAAAAAAAACCTAGAGCCGGCCCTGATAAGAATCTATAGAAATATGACTAAAATGGAGAAGGGAGAGAGCAGGTGAGCAAGGGGACACTGAGGGCAGGTCTACATTTAAAACATTGCACGCATGCAGCTGTAGCGTTCAGTGAAGCTGCTCCTACGCCAATAGGAGAGAGGGCTCCTGTTGGTATAGTTAACCCACCCCCCTAAGAGGTGGTAGCTATGTGAATGGGAGACGCTCTTCCATCGATAATAGCACTGTCTATACACGGGGTTAGGTCAGTATAACTATGTTACTCAGCATGGATTTTTCATACCCCTGAGCAATGTCATTGTACTGATATGGGTCTGTAGCGTAGACTAGATGTCAGGGCTGGTCTACATGAACCAGTTAATTCACAGTCAGGGGGGTGTATGAATGCACCCCACACTAACCTGCTAGGAACTCTCTCCATGTAGACCTTGCTGATGTGCATTAAGTTTGTTAATGTGTTTTCAACTAGTCCTCTTTGAAACAGGACTAATCAAAGCCCATTAACTACTAATGCACATCAGCAGGGTCCACGTGGACACAGTCCATGGCAGGTTAGCATGGGGTAGATTCACACCCCCCCCTTACTGTGCACTAAATATTAACGCCCTCAGTAAAATTAAAATGTAGGAAATCCAAAACTGATCAAAGGAAATACTTTTAATCATATGTGAAAGACTGTGGAACTCATTGTCACAGGAAGTAATTCAGGCCAAAACTTAGCAAGAGTCCCATCTCATCCTTTAGGTTAGGGGTCAGCATACCTTGCCTGTGAATTACAGCTAAGAGCTTTTGTTCCAGTGTCCCTATTCCCATATTACAGAACGGGGGTGACTTGTCCAAGGTTATGCAGCAAGTCACTGGAAGACCTGGCTCTGCCAGTCCTGAATCATATCTACTGGACAATTATGTTTTCATGAAGGTTCTTAACTCTTCACTGGCTACACACAAAAAATTATGCACCAGGGCTCAGTGCTTAGACTACAGAACTTAAAAAAAGCAATTTTCAGCAGTTATGTTTAGCTGGACTTTTTGCCTTAGGGTTTGTCTGGACAGGAAGTTACATTGGTATCGTTAAATTGGTGCAACTGCCAGTGTGGACACTTATTCTGTTATAAGAGTGTCCACACAGGGATTTATACCAATTTAACTATACTAGTTTAAATTCACACCTTACCTTATAGTGCCATAGCTTCCCAAGCAAGCAAATCTTAAGTGTCACATACCCCAACTGATGCCACGACTACGTCTACCCAAACTCTCCCCCGTCAGTGGCAGTGGGGTTACCTCCTGTTTATAGGAATTGCAGAACAGCAGGGGCTGTTGCACCCCAAGAATCTACTTTGCTTGCTATGAAGCACAAGAGAGAAATCACAAATGACTCAATTCCCCCCCCAATCAGCTGAACGTTTACTAAGGTGCAGTGAACATGATCATGGTCCAATTTAGTTATGCAAATTGCAAACAAAGACCACTTTCTGTCCAAAAGCATCAGAACAGCAGAAAGGGAATAAATACATTCAGATAAATAGAAAAGTGCAGACTTTCCTGCCAGGCAACCCTCCTCCTCCCTCCCCTCACACCCCACCCATCCCAAACTTCCTCTTGCAGAAACCAGAGACTTGGGGCTTGTCTCTGAAATAAGCCTCTTTTTTTTTTAAAGGCAGGTGTTCTTAAGACACTAGGGCAGATCTTCAGCTAGTATAAGCTATCAGAGCTACATTAAGCCATGAAAATTTACACCAGCTGATCTGTACCACTAGACCTCATTAAATATGGTTTACTAATAAAGCAATCAATTTATCTCATACATTTTATTGTTCTAAATTCATCAGGTACTTCTATCCTTGGCCTAATATCAATGGACGAGCAGGTTTTACAAATTCCCAAAAATCAGTTATTGGCCAAGGAATTTTAACTAGTATTTGACCTGCTATAAACAGTTCTGGTTACCAGAAGCAGAGTAGGTATTAGTGGAAATACAGACTAAAACATGTAGTAGCAATGAAATTCAGTGTTACACTGGTATATGCCAAAGCTGCTTGAACTGATTTATTGTCAAACAAAAAGAAATAATCCATCCTTCCAATCCAGAATAGTTGAATATTCCAACTCCATAAGCATTTCAGGTGCATCTACATTCCACGCCCGAATGCTAAAAAACTGAACAGAGCCCCAAATCAAATAAAGATTAACGGCCAATGCTGTCTTTTCAATTATGCATCTGTAGAGATCTTTAAACGAATATGGAAGTGGTGGATAGAACT